AAACTAAATAACATGGTGTGCTGAGAGGGGAGTATAGCTGGGGAACCATATTGTGTTGGACTGAGGTTTATTAGGGATAATTCAGAAGTTTTGAAAGAGGCTAGATCATGTGAATGAGCTTGGACTTTCAATTATAATTAATGAAAACTCATTGATACACATAGACGCAGAATATAAGATTGGCATATTAAGAATATTATTCTAGCAGTAAGAACTCTGACTAGAAAATTAACTAAAAAAGAATATGACCGAATGTAGAAAATGAGCTTAATAATCTACTGCAAGCAGAGGAAGAAGGTCTCGATTGCGGAAGTAGTAAGTATGGATAAAGTAGGCATAGAAAAGACTGGAATTTAGAGTACAGAATTGGCAATAAGATGGAAGCGGAACTTCAAGAATTTATATCAATGATCGTTTGAAGCTTGTGAATGGGCATTCTTATTCAAAATTAATATATTTCCTGAATTCATAAACTCCCAGTGCCTCTCATTATTTAAAACACTTTCCTTATAGAAGCTTAATGCTTACATGGGGTTTCTTAAATTGTGGAAATTTCCAATATCTTTTCATTCCAGTTTTTGACAAATTTTCAAGTGTAGATATATATTATTTCTACCTTACTGGAGTCTTACTGAAGACAGTCAAGCATTTCTGGCTGTAACTCCCGTGACACCTGTAGGCGGTCAATAACAATTTGGTTTTGTGGGTTAGTGAATTTGGTGATGTTAGGTGCTACAGTTCCAACTCACAGTAATTCTATATACAACAGAGTGAAACAATGACCAGCCCTGACTCATACTTACATTCATTGCCACATTTGAGCTGTGGTTTGAGCCCCTATATAAATCCACCCTCTAGCTTGTGAATTGAAACATTATTTGACCCTTTGACATTTCCATTTCTACAAGTCGGTGATAATATGTTATGATAGAGATGTGGTAAGGATTACTTTCATTAATACAATGAAACCTGCAACAATTGGACCCTTTTTAAGGAAGAAAACTGCCCAAGAAGGAAAACTCAAATATTTTCCCCTAGAAAAGAGCAATACAAATGTGGTACGATGGCATCCTGTCAAAAGTGAAAACAGTGAGACACCCAGAAGAATGAACTAGTCCTGCCGAGTTCCAACTCTCAAAGTTCCACTCTATGTCAAGCCCTTAGCATAGGGCCTACCTTATTCAATCACTCTTGTAGTTGTTGTTTCCATGACCACTGTTGTCACTGTTGTTAACATAGACATTCAGTGAGATAGCTGTAGGATTAATACAAAGATTTTCTACTTTGCCCAACAGATAATGAACATCAGGGATTCATTAGTACTAAGGTACGGTGTTACGCACATGAAACAGAAATGGTCTTAGAAAGATTTGACAGTCAGCATAATCCAGAAAAGAAAGTTATCCATGCATAGGAAGAGAATCATGTCTTCCATTAACTCAACCCTGAAATACTGCACTCTTTGGTCATTAGTTACATTCTCTATTATATCTCTCATGTATGACTTATGCTATTTGATTAATTACATTTTTAAAATATGAATATAAATAAACTGATAATTGAATAAATAAGCAAATGAGGCAGAAAAGGAAAATTATCAATGCAGAAGAATTCCCTGTAATTGATGTAGATAATCCATTTCAGAGTAATTGAGCACAACTCCTTACTTTTAATATGTAGGCTCTCAATATTGTATTTCTGTTATACAGTACAGAAACAGTGTGTGAGAAGAAAAAGTTTACAGTGGAGAAATCTTATGAGAATTACCTCACACCAAAATATCAAGTTTATATCAACAGTGTTAAATCACATCTATGGCACCCACCCTTGATATGCTGTGAAGAGAATGGTACTTTATATTTTATATCAGCAATCTCCCTTCCAAATACACTCAGTCTAATATTGAAAAAGAGCTGGAAAATTATAGGAGACATTCTACATAATACTTAACCAGTAAACCACATCAAAAATTAGTAAATTGAGAAAGTGTCAGTTAATAATATTATATCAATATTGGTTTATTAATTGTGACAAATATGCCTTGCCATGGTATGACTACAGCACATAATGTATGCATATGCATGTTGTTGTTGTATTGGGTGCCATTGAATTGCTTCCAACTCATAAAGTCCCTCTGGGCAACAGAACCAAACACTGCCCAGAACTATCCTGTCCTCAAAATGGTTCTTATGTTTGAGTCCATTCTTACAGCCACGGTGTCAATGCAACTCATCAAGAGCCTTCCTCTTTTCACTGCTCCTCTACTTTACCAAGCATGACGTCCTCCACCAGTGACTGGTCTCTCCATATAACATGTCCACAGTACACGAAACCAAGTCTTGCCATCCTTGCCCTGAAGAGCACTCTGGCTATACTTCTTTCAAGAATGGTTGGCTCTTATGGCAAGCCATAGTACTTTTAATATTCTGTGCCAGCACCGTAATTCATACACATTCATTCTTCTTTGGGCCTCCTTATTCAATGTTTAACTTTCATATGCATCTGAGGCAAATGAAAATATCATAGCTTGAGTCAGGAGCACTTCAGTCCTCAAAGTAACATTCTTGCTTTTCAAGACTTGACAGAGGTCTTGCGCAGCAGGTTTACGCAGAGAAGTGCCATTTTGTCTGACTGCTGCTTGCATATTCACTGATTGTGGATCCAAGGACGATGAAATCCTCGACAACTTCAATCATTTCTCTGTTTATCATATTACTACCTATTGGTTCAGTTGTGAGAACTTTTACATTCTTCACGCTGAGTTGTAATCCATGCTGAAGACTGCAATCCCTGTTTTCAGTTAGCAAGTTCATCAAGTCCTCCTCATTTTCAGCAAGCAAGATTGGATCATTTGCATATCTCATTGTTAATAAGACTTTATCTAGCCCAGCATACAAATTGAATAAGTCTACTGAGAGTATACAACACGTACCCACACCTTTCCTGATTTGGACTGCAGTTGCCCTTGCTCCATTCACACAACTGCCTCTTGATCCATTTAGAGGTTCCCCCTGAGCACAATCAAGGCCTCTGTCTTTCCCATTCTTCCCTAGACCACCCATCGTTTGTTACGGTCCAGTTTCCATGGTCAATAAAACACAAGAAAAAATCTCTCTATTATTGTCTACTCTCAGCTAATATACATGTATCATCAGCAGTGATATCCCTTGTTCCACAGTCTCTTCTCAATACAGCCTGAACCTCTGGAAGTGCTGTATCAATAGACTGCTGCAACCATTGGTGGATGATATTCAGCAAAATGTTACTTGCAGGTGATATCAATGACATTGTTCAATAATATGAGCATTCTGTTGGGCCAACCTTCTTTGAAATCAGTACAAATATGGATCACTTCCAGTGAATTGGCCAAATAGCTATCTTCCAAATTTCATAGCATAGATGGATAAATATTTCTAGTGTTTTGTTAACTTGTAACATTTTATTTGATATTACATCAGTTGCTGGAGGCTTGTTTTTAGCTAATGCTTTCAGTGTAGTTTGAACTTCTTCCTTCACCACCATTGATTCTTGCTCATATGCTACCCCCAGAAATAGTGAAGTGTGGACTAGTTCTTATATTGGTATAATGACTCTGTGTATTCTCTCTTTCCATCTTTTTTCTGCACCACTCAATATTTTACCTGTAGAATCTTTCAGTATTGCCACTCAAGACTTTATTTTTTTTCTTAAGATCTTTCCGTTTAAGACATGATGAATGTGCTCTTCCTTTTTGGAGGCCCTAACTTTGGGTCTTTGCACATTTCCTTATAACGTTGACTTCGTCCTCTCAAGCTGCCATTTGAAATTTCTATTACTCTCTTTGATTTCATTATCCTTTCCTTTGCCTTAGGTCCTCTATGATTCAGAGCAAGTTTCAGTCTCTTCTGACAGTCACTTTGAACTTTTCTTTCTTTACTGTCTTTCTAATGAACATTTCCTTTCTCCATGTATGATGTTCTTGATGCCATCCCACAACTCATTAAGCCTTCTGTCATTAGTGTTCAATACATCAAATCATTTTTGCAATATTTTTGAAGTTCAGGTGGGATAGACTCAAGGTTATATTCTGGTTCTCCTACACTTGTTTTAATTTTCTTCATCATCAGCCTGAATTTATAAAGCAGCAATTGATGTCCTGATCCATAATCAACCCTGGCCTTGTTTCAGCTTCGTATACTGAGTTTGTCTATCACCTCTTCTCACAGATGTAATCAAATTGATTTCTGTGTATTGCATCTAGAGAAGTCCAACTGCCTAATCCTCGTGGTCTTGCAAAGGTCTATCGTGTGATCTCCAGCTTTGTTTCTATCGCCAAGACCACAGTTTCCAACTACTGTTCCTTCCTCTTCGTTTTCAGCTTTGGTATTCTGATGGCCAATAATTATCAATCCATTTTCATTGCACGTTTTGTTCATTCCAGACTGAACATGTTGGTAGAATTCTTCAATTTCTGCCTCACTAGATTTACTGTGTGGTGCACGAGTTTGTATATACTAGTTGTATTGAATGGTTCTCTTGTCTGTGGATATTATCCTATCACAGACACCACTTTACTTCAAGACAGATCATGCAATGTCTTTTTTAACAATGAATGTGATGTCATTCTTCTTGATTCAGTCATTTCTAACATGGTATATCATTAGACTTTTCTGATTCAAAATTGGGAATACCAGGCTGTTTCAACTCACTGATGCCTAGAATGTCAATCTTTATGCATTTCATTTCATTTTTGACAACTACCAGTTTTCTTAGATACATTCTTTTTACATTCCGAGTTCTGTTTGCTAACTAATGTTTTCAGCTCGTTTGTTTTTCATTTTCTCATTTTGAGTCATATTCCATCAGCAAATGAAGTTCCCAGCAGCATCATTCCCTCGTGCATTACCCTATCCATGCCACTATGGTAGACTCCACTTTGAAAAGACACCTCTTCCCCATACGTATTTGAGTACCTTCATGCCTGTTCGGCTTCCATTCATGTGGTTTTTCCCTCTCTGACAATGTCTTCATGCTATCCATCAGATTTCCAGAGGCGAATTTCCCAGAAGCGGACAGCTTATTCCCTTTTCATAGTCTGCTCTCAGTCTGGAAGCTCTGCTGAAACCTGTTTACTTCCGTGTGGCCCTGAGGGTATGTGACACTGCTTCCTGTGTCAGCGCAACCATCAAGGCACCACAGCACAACAAAGCGACAGACAAGTGGTGTAACGTAATGTTCACTTAGCAAAAGCATATGTCAATAATAGAGGAAACTTGATATTGATTATATGGGAGCCTAGCTACCAATCAAAGGAGTCCTTTTTGTGTAATGGTTAAGAGTTTCTGCTACCTAAGTGAAAGGTGGGCAGTTCAAATCCAACAGTGGCTTCTCAGGAGGGAAGGCATGGTGCTCTACTCCTGTAAGCCTTACAGTCCAGGGTCTCATTCTGTCCTGAAAGGTTGCTGTGAGTCAGAATCAACTTGATGGCATGTCTTAGTAACACCAGGTTACCGTTCCACAGTAACCCTGTAAGTACGAACTGTTTGAAAGTCCAAGCAATGAAGAACATCTATGTCGAGATCCTATTTATTAATAACATAGCAGTTTTTAAAAATTTAACAATGTACCATTCTAATGTAAAATGTTAATCTGGAAAGCTAGGGGCAAAGTATATGAGAATTCTCAGAACATTTCAATTTTCTGTAATATGAAAGCACTTCAAATTAAAAGGGTTATTATAGAAAATATCAGAGGCACGTAAAAAAGATATTACTTACAAGGTGTTTTTATACATTTTCATATTTATGCAATGGCTATTTCAAAGTATATGTTCTACTTGAAGCCTCCAGATCATGTTGTCATGTTGTTGAGTCTACATCGACATCCTTTAGCCTCGTGGAGAAAAATCTCTGAGAAAGTCAGTGATTCACACGCAGAGTCAATGAAATGTTTATATTTCCTGTTGTATAGTTCTCTGAAATAGGAGAGTTAATGCAAGCAGATCCCAATGGATTTAAAATAGAAACATCAGACATAAAGAGAACATCTTTCTTCATAATTATAAGAAGGTCATTTTCTCTTTTGAACTTTCTAGCTTCAACAAGACCATCTATGTCACACATTGTAACATTCAGATGGAGAAGCGATCATTTCAGTTTAGGATGCCATGCACTCGCATCCTAATACCAATGCAGTCACTTATCTTTTTTTTCCCCTCTTATTTTCTGCTTGTATGTTTATTACCCTACTTTATAAATGGTTTAGCCTTGACATGTGAATCCAGGATGGGTTTTTCTTATGGTGTTTCTTTCTTTTTTATCACCGAAGAGCATGACACATTTAGACAAACATTGGATAAGAATTTCATTCCTCCACATCAAAAGCTGTGGAGAATATAATATAAACTTGCATTGAAATTGGCCAAACTGGTGGTCTTTGTGAGCTCCATTCTGCAGAGAAGTACTTAGGGCCAAAAAGTGTATGAATAAAAATCAAGAATGATACCAAATAGAAAATTATGCATATTACAACTATAGTTAACAAAATAATTTTTAAGGTTTAAAATTACTTTTAAATGAAATGTCATATTTCTGTTGTATTTAGCACTACAAATGGCCACAAAATAAAATCCTCTGGGTAAATGTTGGTTTCAATAGTCAGTGCTACTTGTATGATATTCTGAGAAGATAATCTTAATGTAGATTTTTACATGTCACTCTCACCACCCCCAGAAGTGCCTTTTATGGTCTTTTTCAAATATTACTGTCTCATTCTCATGAAAGGGTACTTCATATTAGATGAATGAACGGGTAGATGGATTGATGGAGAGATAGAGGTCATCCTATATAAGAATATATTACTATACTATAAATATATGTGATATTAGTGGACAGTGATAGGATCCTAATCTTCTATTAAGGAGACTCAGTTTTGATGTCGAGCCAGTGTACCTCATAGGCAGCCACCATCTAATCTGTGAATGGACAGAGTAGGAAGAAAAGTTTGGTGATAATCTATTGAAAAGTTAGTCAATGAAAACTCTGAGTCACAATGGTCCAGTCTACAACCTATCGTGAGAATAGTACAGGACATGACAGTCATTCATCCCATTGTGCATCGAGTCACCATTGAATTGATAACTAAATCATTGGTAAATAGCAACATATATAATCTATGAGTATGTAAATGTGTGTATGTTTATATAAAACTCACCACCATCAAAGAGAGTCTTATTTATGGTGACTCTATAGGACAGACTAAAACGAGTCCTGTGAGTTTCCAAGGTCTACCTCTTTGTGGGAGCAGAAAGTCCCAAAGCAACTTCATAGAACAGCGTGGAACTTTCCCGGTGGGTTCCCAAGAATGTAATTTTATGGGAGTAGAAAGCTTCTTGTTTCAGAGTGGCTGATGGTTCAAACTGCTCACCTTGTGGTTAGCAGCCCAACTTATAACCACTGTTGCACCAGGGCATGTGGGGCTTCCAAAAGTTCCTGGAAAAATATAATTAAAGGGTAATGAAATTTTTCAATGGACATTTTAAAGCTATCTCATGTATATACACACATTTTTATAATTAGTATGCTTTATTAAAGATATATATATCTCTCTCTCACTTCTCATTTCAAGACAGATCATGCAATGTCTTTTTTAACAA